GTGTGTGTGTGTGTGTGTGTGTGTGTGTGTGTGTGTGTGTGTGTGTGGACCCTGTTTGCCATTCCCTTCCAATCAGCTAGGACTCTGTACACTTGCTCTCACAGTCAAACACGTCCCAACCTCACTTTAATACTTTTCATCTGTTTCTTTATTTAGGTCATCTTATCTCCCACACTGACTACAGGTTTCTTCATAGTTAGTTAGGCCCACACACATATAACTTAACATATGTAAGAGGCTGTACTACAGTGACACATTTCTTTTGTTGTAGTTTTTGCCTGTAGAGCCATGGCATCAATTACTGCTCATGCCGACACGACTCCAAACAAATGACTGCTGCTGTTGCCAGAGAGACGGAGCATGCACACCAGAGGATTATTATTGCTTTTTTTTATAGGAAAGACTCATCGGTCACATGGTGTTTATTAAGGCACCAGAACAACACATGAGGTAACTATGTGTATTTGGGCTGCCTCGAAAAGGTCCAGAGTGCCGCTTTGAATAACAAAATCCCAATTTGTTACAGATTTTTTTTGTTCTCTATTTGTTGCAGATTGCAGTCAAGAGCTAATTTTAGAAGCATGAGGTCACATATGCAAACTGGTTCTCTCTTTAATAGCGTGAAGCTGAATTGATGTTGCTCAGAGGCTGTTTAGTCTGTGTGTATTTGGGTTTCATACTCATGACGTCATGCAGCGCTGCGGGCCTCAGTCCAGTGAGGCTGGAGGTGTAAGGTCTTACATTAGGTGCATCTGATAAGCTTCAGGTTTATGTGGCTGTGAGAGAGACAGACGGGATAATCAAACTCTGACCTGTGATTCAAAGGCTGCCTCGGCATCAGGGGAGATGAGGCCTGCAAAAGTGAGCAGCTCATTCATCATTCCCATTATTGCAGTAACTCTCGTCCAGCATAAGTGAGGATACATTTGTTTTGTTTCTGCATATTTGCGTGTGAGCCTGTCTGCCGTCATCATCTTTTTATGAGAAAAATAGACTCTCAGACTCCAGATGCACTCACACACACACACACACAGCCAAACTCATTTGTCGCCAGCTTTTGTCACCCGAGGGAGGTTCACAAGTGCACGAAACAAAAGGTCATTTCTTTGTTGAAAGATAACACCTTACAGACCATCTGTGAAAACTGACCCACATCAACAAGGTGCGAGTTAATGGGCTATAGGAGACAAATGTGTTATTCTGTGTCAAAGCCCACAGCTGAACGCTTCATCCCCACAGTGGGTGGCTGTTGAAGTGAGCACTTATATTATTCATTAGAGGGTTCTGGATAATCATGGGCTTCGCTGAACTGGCTTTATTCAGAAATGATGGAGGAAGAGCTCAAAGAGAGCTTCATAGGGGACGTTTTGAACAACATTTAACACAGACACAGTGTAACATCAGTTTCATTGGGTTTAGGAATGTGGAGGTGTTCCCACATTTGTCTTTTTCAGGAAATTCAAATGTTATGTTGAGAATTTACATAATTTATTTATTAAACGGACATTTTAGGGTTTGTTTGTGGTTCATTAAATACATTATCTCATGAGGTAAACTATGCTTGTTGACCTTTTGATTTTTACGACCAGGGGTAACGGGGTACTTCTTGCACTTGTACTTGTTTAAGCTCAACTAATTGAACTAAATTCAACCAGTTCAGTTAAATTAAAACAGTTACCTGAAAGTAATGGATACATGAGATATGGGGTTACACTAGACAAGAAACCCCACTGCTCTACAGGACCGTAAAACATTTTGTCTGATCATTTGGGGAAGTAAAAGTTGCCATATTCACAGACCTAACTCATCCTCTCTAAATATGAAAGACGTGTGTCACAAACATCTACAACATTTTACCAGTAGGTCTGTTAAATTAGGACATGCTCTGATTGTAACAGTTTCTGTTAGCTGATAAACGGGCCAGTTCCCTCAGGGTTCTGGTCTTTGTAGTTCTTTGTAGTTCTTTGTAGTGCGCAGCAGGACCTTCAAAGTTGAGAGGTCACACACTTCAGTGGGCATAACTAATCCTGTCATCTGGACTTCAGTCTGAATTGCTCTTGTGTTGAAAGGTGTCAGAGCTTCGGTTACTGGTCTGGGTGTCACTTTATGGCCGTAACGCAGCGTGGCAGTCTAGCTGAAGGAGGCTGAGGAATGAGCTGTTGGCTATTTAATGGCCACACTGGATTAATGTGACTCTGGTGTCTTTGGAGGAATATTTAAGTATTTCCAATTATTTTTCGGGGGAAAAAACGGTATCAGTTGTGTTTATTTAGTGTTACCCAGCATGCTGTAGCTCCTGCTTTTTAATGTTGATGCTGTGCCCTGTACCAAGAAAATGAACTGGATATGATGCATTGCATTTGAGTGTGTTATAGTCCAACGTTTTGACCAAATACAGTCTTTGTAATGATCCTAGTTGTCACGAAGGGTAAACCCGGAGAGAGGACGGAAAGATGCTGACTGTGTTTCTCTCTTTTCTCTGAACAGATCGTGAGGACCAATCCATCCTTTGCACGTAAGTACTGCAGCTCTCAACTTTCTATTACTTGTCCGGCTCTCCTCTCCTGAGGTCGCTTCTCTGTTAGGGCAGACGATCCGTTCCTTTAAGTGGTTCTGGTGATAAAGCAGCTCAATGGGCTGGAAAATGAAACTGTCCCAAGATGAAGATTATACAGCTGCGCCTCAACAGGGTTACGTTCTATAAAGACACTTACAGTGCCGACAATGATTGCACGTCCCAGGATCACCACCTCTGGATTACATGGTTTCCTGGTTGTTTTGTCTTCCTTTCTTCCCTTCTTGTTTCTCTCACCCTGAGTCAGTTGGCCAGCTCCCATCGTCCTGCTGTTTTATTTAAAGACTGGTTTCAAATAGCTCTTTGCGGATGACGGGTTGTGCAGCATCTCTACTCAATGCAGAGGGAGTTATGAGTGCGGTTTGGTGCCGTGCCTTCATCGTCTTTGGCAGAGAGTAATTGAGTGCCACACTCTTTCAATGTGGCTTGAGTTGGCGCTGCCAATGAACAGGCGAGCGCTGTTGCATAATCTGTCCTAGATTCTAAAAAAAAAAAAACACACCCCCCCTGTTGGTGACCGTGGAGCCATTTTAGCAGTGTTACCCCACTTTAATAAGTAGTGTGGTCAACCAGTTTAGAGCTTCATGTCTGTAAAGACATCTACATTGAGTTCAGTGCAGAAGATATCAGTTGGAAGTGTGTGAAATGTATTGAAACGGCAACAGAGAAGACCCAGTGCTTGAAATGGACCCACTCAGTCTTGTGCTGCTTTAATGCTTAATTTCCCTCTTTAGATCAATACACTTTGATGTAATCTCATCTTTGCCTATTGTTCTTTTGCCTTTACCTCTGTTTGATTGAAGAGACGTACCATCACACGGTCTCAAAATACTGTATCAGATGCTACTCTTCCTCCAAGGAAAAGCTTTGCACAGGTCTGACTCTGCTTCGTCTTAGAATGAAAAAGAACTTTGCGACAAACTCTTTTTATTCAGTTATAATACCACAAGCATATTTAGCATGGCTTAGAATTACAGAAGGTCTCGTGTAGTTACGTGGTTTAGCAGTAATGTGCTCAGAATAACATCTGCAGACCCATGTCTCATTTGAATAGTCAGCTCCTACTTACTGGTCCTACAGTTATGACATCGTGTATGAATTACCAAACATAGGATGAACCTGTGCTGAGTATCCTCTGTCATGCGCAAGATTTGAGGGTGAATAAAATCGCTGTTGTAAGCGGTAAAAATATGCAACTCCCAGCTCATCAACACACCACTATGTCTATATTCTTTATCCAAAATTAACCAAACGGGGAGCGTCTTATGAGACCGAAACATGTAGAATCTCTCACTTAAGAATTGACTGTTGACTCTCTGACGTATGAGAGTTGTGAGAGGGTCATCAACAGAACATGTGAGGCAGGAGTATTCATAAAGGGAGGGGCCACAAGTGACCCCGTAACCTCCCATGTTCACATCTTTTCCATAAGAAAAGTGAATGTCAGCGAATGGTTATTTCTATGAGAAATATTCCGACACTATGAAACTATGAAGACGTCAAGCCAAACTGGGATGTGTAACTCACTTGACCTAGATATGCTATGTCTGCATCATGTGCTTTGAGGACTCGCCCATCGAATTCTATCGCGGCAGCTAAAACTGCAGTGGTCCGAGAGCTAATAGCCAGCTACACTAAAGCCACCGGTATGAAGATGGATGTAGTGTTGCTGGCCTGGTTTCGAGGTTGGCCCAGTTTTTTTTAATTTATTTTTTTGGGCTCTGGGACCCGACTGCGGGAGCTGTGGATGGCTCTGCCTGAACAACAGCTATCATTAGAGACGGCCCAAAAGCAGAGCCCGGAAACTTTGGAGACTAGCCCACCAAACCACAAGGTTCTCCAGTAAAACCGGCTGACAGACGAATGGATGGGTTTAGAAAACAACAACACAGCCTGATGGCCGTCCGCTCTCAATACCTCTCTTCCATTTCTCTTTCCTTCAAGGTTTGTCCGCCATAATGACGAGTTATTTTGGTCAAGGTTTTACGGTGGTTTGTCTGTCTTGGCTGCTATGCCTCACAACGAATCGCCCGTCAGTCATGATTGCTAACTAATAGTGACGTCATTATTTGTTAGAAGTGAAACTAAAGTGAAAACAAAGTGTGTCTCTTTTCGCTCACTCACTCTTTATTCCCTCACACTTTTGCTCCCTCTGTCTGTCCATGTGTATATTCATGCCGTCTCTCCTTTTTTTGTTTTCAGAGGTGAATCAGGAGCAGGCAAGACCGAGAACACCAAGAAGGTCATCCAGTACCTGGCCCACGTTGCCTCCTCACACAAAGGACGCAAAGACCACAACATTCCTGTGAGAGCCCCACTGCCTACACTTCTCCTACTCTATCCTTGGCCAAGCATGGGCCTCCTCTCCTCTCTTCTCCTCTCTTCTCCTCTCTTCTCCTTTCCTCTCCTCTCCTCTCCTCTTCATCATATTTGAATTATCCTTGCTGACAGTCCATCTCCTCACCTCTTAGATTAAGAACGGAAAGACCTTGTTGGTATTTGTGAAGTGCCTCTGCACATCATTATTGTAATTTAAAGGAATAGTTTGTATTCACTTTTTAGCAGAGAGTTAACGGCAGACAATAGCAATCAGATCAATACCACTCTCATATGTGCCTGTTAAATATAATGCTGCAGCCGATCAGGTTAGCGTAGCAGAGAGACTGCGAGCTTAGAAACGGTAACAAAATCCACCCAGCAGCATCTCCAAAGCTCAGTAATAAACATTTTAGATGTCATTTGTTTAATCAGTACAGAAAACTGTTACTCGGGTCCAGTAACTTCCTGGAATTTCTGCTGGTCAGAGCCAAGAAATAGTCCAGCTGACACCCCCTCAGTTTCTAGTGCTAAGCTAACTAAGCTAACCGGCTGCTGGCTGTAGCTTTTTATTTACCGTACATAAGTTTATTTCCCAAAATGTCAAACCATTTAATTAATGAATTGTAATGTTACTGTGTTCTGGTCAGAATCAAAGTGCATAGCTTCGTATTGATATCTGACAACAAGTTGTGTATTAATCTGCAGTTAACCTAATAGATTTGAATGTAGCCTGACTGGTCACTCCTCCTGCTTCGTGTCATCCAATGCCATTCTGCGAGAGGTTACCCAACGCGGGGCCAAGTGTGTACCGTTTCCTGTGGCTTGTGTCTGACATGAGTGCTTCAGGTTTTAACACGTGCATTTGTTTATCCTTAACAAGCAGCCCGAATCTCCCAAAGCATTCAAGCTCCAGGCAAGTGTATCTCCCGCTTCTTTAAAAAGAGTGTGTGGTCCGTTTTTTTGGTGTTTTGAGTGTATGTGCATGCCCTTCTCTCTCAGTCTCGGCCACTTCCATAATGATGTTGACAGACTAATCTAAGCTTCCGTCTTCATGAGGTATTTGTTTGTGCTGGCTCAGTCTTCTCACATGATTAATTTGAAGCCCTGCTGAATCTGCCATTAAACCAGCAGGCTCATGATCCTAAAACACTTTGTTTTATCAGTTGGTTTGGGTTTATTAGGACAGCTGGAAATCCAGATGTTTTATGAGGAACACATGTCAGTCAAATTCAAAAGAATAGGCCACACCATTTCTTTACACCGTTTACATTAAGTGCTTTTCGAGCATTAAAAGGGACAATTCACCACCTTTCGTATGGACGGCCAATCAGTGTTGATGGTAAATGTAGTCCATTGAAGCAATAAATTCCTCAGGGCGTGCCGAGAAAGCTGAGTTCTCTTTGCGGAGCCTTGCGGGGCCTCAATGCACCAGGATGCACGACGGACAGCAAAAAACATAGTGTGGCAGAGGTTTATAAGATGCGCCTTTATTTCCTTAGGTAATAAATCAAGAACACGGAGGCTCTGTAGTCCGAACCAGCGTGAACCACGACTGCAACAACTTTTATTTTCCACATTGTCAACGGCAGCGCATTATACATCCAAGCTGAAATGGCAGCCTGTAGTTCTATCTTGCATTCATCTACGTCACTGGACGCCGGAAGAACAACGAATTTTGCAGCTGCGAACTCAGCTATCGGGATCAATATGACACGAACCGAGGAACTTATTGCTTCAATCGACCGCGTTTACCATCAACACTGATTGGACAACAACATACATATAAAAGGTGAAATCAGACCGCAGCCACACTAAACATCTCTCCTCAAATGTTTAATGCCGAGCTTCATCTTTTACATTTCAGTGATGAAATGAAAATATCAATGATGTAACATGACGGCAGTTAATCAAATGTTTCATCTATTCATGCATGTGTCCCATTGGTGATGTACTCTAGATGCATGTGTGTAGTTTGAACAGCATTCAAGTTAATACTGCAGTGGTGGTTTCTATAGCCTTGATAGCTGTGATAATATTATTCCAGTAACCAACACTATCCTTCAATCCACATGTGGCTTTTGCTGCCCAGACAATAACCGAACACAGGGGATGTTTCTATGTGGATGCTCTAGCCTCACCTGGATCTTCAGATTTTATTCCACAATGTTTCCCAGAAGTAACACAAATGAGAAAAAAAATTCCCCCAACTCCATCTTTTGTCTCTCACGCTCGCTACAAAGATTTATATTTCCTGGCTCACCTATTCTCAGCGTGATTTATCCGGTAGATATTTTTCCTTTTCCCCTAAACCAATACCTGATGTTTCTGTGTCCTCTTTAAAATCTAATATCTTTAGAAGCAGAGTCATAGCTGCAACCTCTAACCTGCAGCTTTGAGCGCAGACAATTCGGGTGAATGCTAGTTTAATGTGCCGTGTTTCAGTAGCTTTAACTCTGGGGGGGGGGGCGGCCTCGGTGCTCCCCCTGCCAGAGTACACATCCTCACTGACCTTAATGCTGCTTTCCTTCTGCGTTGCATTACGGCTTCCTCTGAGCAGAGGCCAGAGGAATGTAGAACCATAAGGTGGAGGAGAGAGGTCTGAAAGGGGGTGAAAAGGGGGGGAGATGAAGTAGTGGAGAGGAGGTAAAGCAGACCAGAGGCGACCAGACTTTCATATTTCTCTCAGTGAGAAAGACAAATGGAAACGCCTGTTTATTCTGTGTTGTTTTATGGCGTTCACAGTCTGAAAGATTAAGGAAAAGAATGATGAGGAGGATAGTTACTCCTTACTCAGGTATCAACACGTTGAGACAGATATAGGAGGCTTCATAAATATGTCAAAATGTTGTATTAAGGACCGTATTGTCCACGTCTGCCCCGAGAGATTTAAACTTTGGATGTAAACCTCTAGCAGAGTAGATTCTTGTCAGTCAGAAAACTAGAAAAGCGCAACACAAGTCCAAGTACAAGACCATTACTGGCACTCTATCTCTGCTGCAGGCCAAAAAATTCACTGTAGTCCAGTGTTTCTTTCAATGGCTGTTTCTGGCTGGTCTACAACACCAGCCAGCACACTGTGTTCCCCCCTGGGCAGTCAGAGTCCAGTGGTTCATCCTGGAGTCAGTTCAAGGCAGGCTCTGATGTGCTGTAGGGGCTATTTCTGTACTGCCACTGGCCCGGATAGGAGAGATTGCGTCATGTGGAGGGCATGTTGAGGTTTTTGGGGCTGTAGGGAATGTCCCAACCGCCTATCTAGCCAGGTTTTGAGATTTGGGAGGAAGCCATTTTTACCGCCACGGTGGTACGTATATACAGTATATAGGGGTATATCATCATAACCAGAGGAATGTGCAGAACGGCCGAAGGCTCTCACTAATCAATCCAAACTAACCACAACTGTTGGGCATATGTGGAAACTCACTCGCTGTGTTGCCGACCACACACTTTGAGTTCCGTCAAACTGTTTGGTAATCTTGGCCCACGAAACTTGTCGAGTCCTCCTGACAAAAATCACATCGTGCTGCAGTTGACCAAAGTAGAGCCAACAGAGCCATGATAAATTGCTGACTGTCTGAAAGATTGGTTTAGCATATTAACGTGGCTACATTTTTCTCTTGTTGCTCTTTTTCGAAGTATTCGAGCTTGACCAGCTTGTGTGTGTGTGTTTTGGTAGACAGAGGCATGTGATTAACAGAGATACAGATGAATTACGTGGTGCCAGACATAAGAAATGTTTGACAGCTAGTTTGCTTCTTACCTCTCTGTCTTTCTCCACAGGGGGAGTTGGAACGCCAGCTCCTGCAAGCCAACCCCATCCTGGAGTCTTTTGGCAATGCCAAGACAGTGAAGAATGACAACTCATCCCGCTTTGTGAGTTCACCGTTTATGTTTAAATGATCATTTGTTTGATTCAACCAATCAGATAGTAACCTGAAGGGAAACAGATTTATGTTAACTCCAGGTTGTCTATCAGTGCACTTATAGAAATGTAAATAATTAAAACCCAAAGCCTCCTGCTTCATGTCATTCAATGCCGTTCTGCAAATATTTATTTTGGGGCTTTTTATTTAAAAGATATAACTTTGAACTGTTCAAAAAAAGGTTTTATTTTTTTAATACTTCCTGGTTCTCTGATACAATCATTTCCTGAAAATCTAATATTTGAAAAATTACGTATTTTAATGTTATTTCTGAAAATTGTCGCTCTAAGCATTTTATTTTGAATGACTAAGTTAACATGTGGCAAAGAGTTAACCACCATGGTGTTCAGTCTTGAATTAATCACACGCTGTCTCAGATGAGAAGCAATGAAGACCAGTAGACACATACTCACACACACTCACACACACTCACATCCACACGTTCACCTTCAGGAAACCACAGACATGCCTGACATTCTCTCTGACCTGTTAACCTGTGGCATTTTGTTCTCACTGTGTCTCTGTCGTCTGCGTGAATCCACAAAGTGATATTTAACATGCAACGTGCTGACATCACAGACTTTTTTTCAAATGAACCTGTGAAGTTTTAGCAAGTTCAACAAGGTTTTTTTTAAACATAAACATGCATCTTGTTTTCTGCAGGGCAAGTTCATCAGAATCAACTTTGACGTCACAGGCTACATCGTTGGGGCTAATATTGAAACTTGTATCCTCATTACTGAGACCGGCTGTTGTTTTATGCTGTAATTTCCTGGTCAGTCCTTAACCTTTGCCCTCAGACCTCCTGGAGAAGTCGAGAGCCATCAGACAGGCCAAAGATGAGAGGACCTTCCACATTTTCTACCGCCTGCTGGCAGGGGCAGGGGAGCATCTCCGAAGTGAGTGCTGTGTGCAGAGCAATCAGGATAAACAAAAGCACCCGAGCAGTGACAGCCAGCTTTCCTGTTTGTGCCAGTTTGCCTCAGGCGAGAAAAGGAGCGTTTTAAAGGAAGCTGGTTTGAATTAGCACCGGCCAACTAATCTTTTTCCCTTGTTAACTTTTAATTTAGCTTGTTAGTACATTGTTTCATGATGCAGAACATGTTTAGACGGCATATTTGTCTTGGTCTTAGTGGATTTAGAAGGTCACTTGATCTCTCCCGCACTCATTTTGAGTCTAGACCGACTTGTCTATATTGAACATTGGATGCAAATGTAACACATACTTTAATGTCTTTGTCCGTCAAACAATTTGAATTACTTGTGAGGGTAAATCCACATGCATCATGGTCTTAATACACTCTACAAACAGAAAGTATCCAAATATATCAGCATGAATAAGAGCATACTGATTAAATAACTTGACAATCATCTTTTTCCTTCTGCAGCGGACCTGCTCCTCGAAGACTTTAACAACTATCGTTTCTTGTCAAATGGTAACGTTACCATCCCTGGCCAGCAGGACAAGGATAACTTCCAGGAGACTCTGGATGCCATGCACATCATGAGCTTCTCCCATGACGAGATTGTCTGTGAGTAGAAGTTTCCAGATGTGCCCTGAACCGCTATCTATAATTTCATTCGTTTGTTTCCTCTCTTACTGTGCCATTACCTAATCCCCCCCCCCCCTCCCTCCCCTCCCTCCCTCCTCCCCTCCCTCCCTCCTCTGGGGATCGCTGAAATGTTATCTTGTCCTTGCCAGGCATGTTGAAGGTGGTCTCTGCAGTGCTGCAGTTTGGCAACATTGTCTTTAAGAAAGAGAGGAACACTGATCAGGCCTCCATGCCTGAGAACACAGGTAAACGTCCAACACCCAGTCAAAGTAAAACGCGTACACACACACACACACTTCCTCGCTCGAGTCAGTCATGATTCACAAATCCAGAAAATGAGATGAATGTGTGTTTTCCACCACCTGTTGTGGTGGAAGCTGAAGAGTCATTTCCATGTATATATATATATACACAATATACTCATTCACTGTGAGCGCATACATTATTAGGACCATGATAACACTAAAGTTAGATTGTGTGTCTCCTTATATTGGTTTGGATCAGCATCAGATGTTCCTGCAGTCCATACACAGACTGTTCATGACTATACAAATATTCACATTCCTTTCAGTGCAAGAAAGAAGAAAGTCTAATGAATATATAAAATGCTTAGTTTTATTCTGCTGTCTGCTGTTATAGGGTCAGATCCATTAAACATACTGATCATAGTTCCATAAAAGCTCTCTAAAACTCAAACCCTGACTCATTACGTTGTCTCAACCCAGCCAGGAGATGCAGAATTAGATTTTGTTCTGTTGCTTTCATCATTTTTATAGTAAAAAAAAGCATGTTTTTGTATGAAATCTGAAATTCATATCGAGCAATGTGTGACATGCCTTCTGCTTCCTTGCACTCCCAGTGGCGCAGAAGCTCTGTCACCTGCTTGGAATGAATGTTATGGAGTTCACCAGAGCCATCCTCACCCCGAGGATCAAAGTGGGACGAGACTACGTACAGAAGGCACAGACCAAAGAGCAGGTAAGGCGCCATTTGACTCTATTGTTTCTATTCCACGTTTCTTCATATCTTTGCTTTGATATCTTTCTGTTTGCAGGACACCTCACTTTTGCACACGATAAATCAACAACACTCAAACTTATAACAGCAACACAAAGTTTATATAGGGATAGTTCCGCTCATGGCTCAGTGGGCCATGTATTATTTAGGGTTCTAAGTCCTCTATGGTTACTCACTCTGGTTGTTTCCTCAGGCTGACTTTGCTGTTGAAGCCCTGGCCAAGGCAACATATGAGCGTCTGTTCCGCTGGCTGGTCCACCGCATCAACAAGGCCCTGGACCGGACCAAACGCCAGGGCGCATCTTTCATCGGCATCCTGGATATCGCTGGCTTTGAAATCTTTGAGGTGCTGATTGTGATGTTTTTAACACCAACACAACTCAAACTACCTTCTGGATATTGAAGTTTTGTTTCTTTAAATGTAGATAAAACAGAACCCAGTGATCTAGGTTATCTGATCAATTGGATTTTGTATAACTTTAATCAAGTCACGTTAAGACCATCTGAAGAAGACATTTTCAAAATCAGCAACAAGAAAACATGTCACCACAACTAACAAACTTCTGCTTTACGCTTCCTTCCAGCTGAACTCGTTTGAGCAGCTGTGCATCAACTACACCAACGAGAAGCTGCAGCAGCTCTTCAACCACACCATGTTCATCCTGGAGCAGGAGGAGTACCAGAGGGAGGGCATCGAGTGGAGCTTCATCGACTTCGGCCTGGATCTGCAGCCCTGCATCGACCTCATTGAGAGGCCGGTCAGTGTTTCCCTCATCTGTGTGTGTGTGTGTGTGTGTGTGTGTGTGTGTGTGTGTGTGTGTGTGACCTTGAGTGTGTCTGCCTATGGAATGCGTGTGTGAAACGATTCCCTTTCTCCTCAGACCAACCCGCCTGGTATCCTCGCTCTGCTGGATGAGGAGTGCTGGTTTCCTAAGGCAACCGACAAGACCTTCATAGACAAGGTGCTGCAGGAGCAGGGCACACACACCAAGTTTCAGAAGCCCCGACAGCTCAAGGACAAAGCTGACTTCTGCGTCATTCACTACGCAGGAAAGGTATGTATTTCAGGCCCATTACGGTGTGTTGCATTCTGACTGCTCTCTTGGGAACGGTAGCTTGTTGGACCTTCTACCTTAAGTATGCTACTACTCTTAAAATGGAGCTCCTAACAAACGGACATTTTAGAAACAAACACTATTCATGTCCTCTCTATAGCCTCAGATTCATCCATGTTTTTTCCTTATGCAACAGCTGTGTTTCTGGCCCGTTTTAAAGCCTTTCTCGGAGGCACAGATTTAGCTCCCTTGAAGGCACAGTTAAGCCGGTCATTGCCTGAAAACAAAAGCCCAGTTGTCGTACTGCTGCTGTAGGAAACTCACATCTGGTTCACATTGGTGTGCTATTGAGTCTTTGGTGCCTGGTGATTACGTAACGTGAAGTTTTTTTTTTTTTCAACTTTCACCTCTGTGGTGGTGGTCTGCCATCTGTAAAGAGAAAACGATACTCCACAACATTCCAGAGAGGACAGTCGCAGCACGAAAGTCAGTCGCAGCACGAAAGCTGATATCATCCCTAGAGTGGTGGTTTGATTCGGTCTACCTGTCTCTTCTTCCTGTCTTTTGTGTGTGTGTGTGTGTGTGTGTGTGTGTGAACACAGTGAAGAGCATCAGTCCGTTGTATCCAAACATCAGTCTTGGACCTGAGCCTTGCCCTGACAAACATGTGAAAGTCTCAGATTCAGCCCGATGTCAAACATCCAGTATTCGATACTGGAACCAACATTAAATTTGAACTTCGTCAAATAAACCCTGCATGACAAAGTGGTACCGAAGAGGAAAATAAGTGCAAACACAGTGAGTTTGCTTTTTCCCGGATTTGGATGAAACCCACATGGAATTTTTACATTCCTCATCTCAGGTTGCCGACCGTGTCAATTATTTCTTATTATGTTCTGCTCTCCTCGTAGTACGTTAGACGTTTGAGGAACACATCCAAGTAAAAGTCATCATCGTGTTACAGAGACTAATCCCATCAACACTCTATGGTCCAGTTAGACCTCACTGTGCTGTCAGTCAAATATATATAACATGCAAATAATATAAAGTTGTTGTTTTTTTACCCCAAGTGCAATTAGATATGCAGTTGAGGTATAACCCAACAATGATTGCTATTAATATCACTATTGTCCGTCACTTTTCTACCATCGTTGTATCTATTATTGCCCCACGTCAGCGCATACAGCACATCTGGTGCTGCCTGTGAGATAAAACACACATGTGGTGTTTAGAAACACTGTCAGACCTAGCTGTCCGTTAAGACATCCTGCACAGACCGCTGCAGACAGGTGAAGCAACAGCATTTCATTCTTTTACACTATTATCACTGGGGTGCAACAGTAATGAAGGGAAAGAAGTGGATGACGTATATCAACGGTCATGAAGGAAATCTCATTTGATGTTGAGTTGCTTTGCTATTTTTTGCTGTTGGGGCGCTAAACCTTGTGCAACCAAATAATAACAGATGTTTGTGGTCGTTATTGGTATGTTGAGAAGAATTACATTGTAGCCTGTTTCAGGTGTAGGTAATTCTATTGTTTTAATCATTTGTTATAGCTAGTGCAGCGCTCTTTCAAAAACATGTCTGTTCAGAACGGGCCACATGCTTGACCTGTGTTGGTGTTAATGCTTGCAGCTTATACACCGCTCATACAAACAACTTCTTCATGCTTCAACTTCACCCTATAGATTGATTATGATGTTTAGATATTACAAGTATTGCATTATGTTAATATTCTAACTTATTGTACCCCGAAATAAAATGCCCTCAAAGCACTTAGAAATATGCAACTCAACTGTACAGCCTACTGTGTACTTCTACTTCGGAGGAAAACTTTGTAGTACTACGTTTACTTGACAGAGACGTGTTACTGGTTATTTTGCAGATTCAGAATTGACTCACAAAATACAACAATTGAAATGATTATTATTCATCAAACTATCCTCATCATATAGGAACTGAAAGCTCTCTCTCTCACTCTTCACTTGACGTAAACATTCAAATGCAAGACTTTCACTGTGCGGTATTATTTGTACTTTTGATTGAAGTTGCAATGGCAGAGTAGCGCTGTCTTTTATAGGCGATGCGCTGGCGCTCCTCGACTCTAGGGAAGTGAAGAAGAGTTCGATGGTGACGTTATGCGTGTAAAGAAGAGCGCTTCTCAAGATATGCGAAGGAGAGACAGACAGAGATTTCTTGCTCTATAGTCGGATGAATAGACATGATTTCTTTCTTCTGTGTTTGAGATTTGCAACGAACACACAGTAAGAACGTTGTGTTGTTGTCGCTGTGTTTCTTCAGGTGGACTATAAAGCTGATGAATGGCTTATGAAGAACATGGATCCCCTGAATGACAACGTGGCCACGCTGCTGCACCAGTCAACTGACAAGTTTGTGGCTGAGCTCTGGAAGGACGGTGAGTCTCTTAGTGTTTCTTTTTGGTGTCAAGGAGGTCTTTGAGCTTTTAACTGTACAAACGTAGGTTGATAAACTATTTAATCTGTAGTATGAATTCTAGATAAACATGCATTTTATCAGTCATCCGTCCAGAATGATGGGCACAAAAAGAAGGGAAATATATTCTCCGTTCTCTCACTCTTCCTGTCAGTTTCTTTCAGCAGTGAGATTGATGCTTTCTCTTATGTGGGAGGAGTTTTGCCAGCAAAAACATGAAGTGTAACAACATTCATCTCTCAGGGCTGAATGTCGGATTTATTGCTAATCCTGTTTTTCCTCCCCCAGTGAGTGCACTGTTAATATTTCAGTTAGCCTTCGTAGTCATTGTTTTTATTTGACATTTGTTATTTTTGGACTCTGGACTAATCTTTCTCCTCATAAATGTTCAGCTGTGGTAACCCAACACTGGCTTTGTTAATATACATGTTCTGTATTATTACAGTGCATGAACTGACATATACTCTTCAGTCCTCTTCTTTTTAAAGCTAATTAATGCTTGTGAAGGGTTGTATGTCTGTGGGTGTGTGAGTGATGGGTGTAAGAGCTGGCCTGCCCACTTTATTTCTCTCTCACTCTCCCGTCTTCTTCCTCTGTCCGTGTCTCTGTCGCTGTAGACATTCAGACGTTTCAGAGAGCCTCTTTCTATGACAATGTGTCTGGGCTCCATGAAGCTCCAGGTGAATGATAGTAACACTTTAACCCACTGGCTTCTCCTCATCCTTGGCACTGGAGGGATCATTGGTTCCCCTGTCCTGTCCTGGCTGCACTGTGCACCCCTCTAAAAAGTCCTCTCTGGCTTTGCATGGCTATAAAAACTTCTGACACTTAAGACATTTCATTCTTTCGCGAGTGCTGGTGGCTGTCATTATAAAAATTTAAAAAAAAATTATCCTCTATCCGCTAAATAGATATTTAGTCTATGCAAAGCTGCCGTCAATAGCAGTCCACCGATCCACTGATAAAGTTATATTAAAAAGGATCCCAGTAACTATTCAATCTTTTGTGCATTCAACAGGCTTAACTCGGAGCATGTGCGTCAGAGCTAACAGCAGATGGAAAGAGATAGTGTCCAAATGAATTTGACGCCATCGTCTGTCTTCATGCTTTATCACAACATAAGAAAAGAGCAAATCCTGCTCAGTTGAAGACTTCATCCTTTATTGGCAACATCTCCTGATGAATATCCACATTGGATTTAGATAAAAGACTTACAAGTCATTGGCTTTTCTCTTTTCTACATTCATGTCAATAGCACGACGCGCATTTATCAGTAAAACCCGCATCACAATATCTCTGCATTAATGCAGTTATCTCTCTTGTTTCTCTTCACATCATTTTTCATCACCAGTCGACAGAATCGTGGGTCTGGACCAGGTGGCGGGTATGAACGAGACGGCGTTTGGCGCCGCCTACAAGACAAAGAAGGGCATGTTCCGCACCGTGGGACAGCTGTACAAGGAGCAGTTATCGAAGCTGATGGCCACACTGAGGAACACCAACCCCAACTTTGTCCGCTGCATCATCCCCAACCATGAGAAGAGGGTGCGTTTTTAGATTGTCACAGGGACCCCTCACTGCCTGCTGGACTGAGAAACTGCTCCACTAAATCTGTTGACCTAGCAAGGCTAGAGTTTGGGTTTCAAATGCAATTTCTAGTACATTATATATTACTGAGACCACATTTATACATTCTGTGGATCTGTTTCAACAATCATGTTTACAGCAATATATGCTAGAGGACAAACACACGACAGTGTTTGTTACTGCAACTCAAATTAAAATGCAGCCCATTCAAATGTATTAATACAGAACCTTTACCCATACATTAAAATGTTCCTCTTCTTCATCTCCTTATTCTTCTCCCTCTTCCCCAGGCTGGTAAACTGGACCCGCACCTGGTTCTGGACCAGCTGAGGTGTAATGGTGTCCTGGAGGGGATTCGCATCTGCAGACAGGGCTTCCCCAACCGCATCGTCTTCCAGGAGTTCAGACAGAGGTAATGTTGTAATGTCAACTTACCTAGTATGATATAAAACACAGATAAAATAACATTAGATAAACAGAATATCACAGAGATTGTGTATAAAAGTGTTTCATAGAGTCACAAATGTCTCCTTCTTTCCACTTCCTCTGACATGATGCATGGCTTATATATACCAGAATACTTTTGCAGTTTATAAAAGATAGATAATGGATCCGGTGTCACCCTTGTCTTTGATGTTCTCTCTGCTCTGTGTCCAGGTATGAGATCCTCACCCCTAACGCCATTCCCAAGGGCTTCATGGACGGCAAGCAGGCCTGTGAGAGGATGGTAAGGACCCGGGTCTCTGTTAAGGACAAATGAAATGATCTCGACTGCTGCCTCAGGTCACAAGGCTCACATTTGAAACAAGGGTCCTCCTTTATTATTTATAATTTTTATGATCCTTCAGGTACCTCCAGTAGCCCTTTCCCCCTTCAACGTCTCCCTGTCTCTGATAGATTAAAGCCCTGGAGCTGGACGGTAACCTGTTCCGTATCGGCCAGAGTAAGATCTTCTTCAGGGCCGGAGTCCTGGCCCACCTGGAGGAAGAGAGGGACCTGAAGATCACCGACATCATCATTTACTTCCAGTCTGTCTGCCGGGGTTACCTGGCACGCAAGTAAGGGTCGCTCTACCGCTGCTGTCTGCAACTGAAATGCAGTCATTTCTATGTGTCTGATCACAAAAAGGAGGTTTTACTGTTGTCTCACTCAGTCTTTGTTCTCTTCCTCGCTCGTTGTAATGCTTCAGGGCCTTTGCAAAGAAGCAGCAGCAGCTCAGTGCTCTGAAGGTTCTCCAGAGGAACTGCGCTGCCTACTTGAAGCTTCGTCACTGGCAGTGGTGGAGACTCTTCACCAAGGTTTGTACATTGTCACGGGTGTTTGTGCAACAGACGCCATTTGTTTTGAGTCTCGAGGTAACTAATCTCAGATTTGTCAGTGGAGATCATCCTCTGAAATGTCTTGTGTTCATCTGTACCCGCAGGTGAAGCCTCTGCTGCAGGTCACCAGGCAGGAGGAGGAGATGCAGGCTAAGGATGAGGAGCTGGTCAAGGTGAAAGAGAAGCAGACCAAGGTGGAGGGAGAGCTGGTGGAGATGGAGCGGAAACACCAGCAGGTCAGTCACAACTGCAGCAATACAAGATAAACTGCAACGTTGGTACCACATTAAAACAAACTGTATAGATTTCTTTAGGATGCACAATTAAACGTTTTTTCAAAACTTTTTTTTATGTGTAGTTAGTTGAGGAGAAGAACATCCTCACAGAGCAGCTGCAGGCAGAGACAGAGCTGTTCGCAGAGGCTGAGGAGATGAGAGCTCGCCTGGCTTCCAAAAAGCAAGAGCTGGAGGAGATCCTTCATGACCTGGAGTCCCGGCTGGAGGAAGAAGAGGAGAGGAACCAGAGCCAGCAGAACGAGAAGAAGAAGATGCAGTCCCATATCCAGGTGTGTCCCATTGACGTACAGGTTACTGAAAAACAATGTTTGCACTCTTTAAAATGACGGAAATACAAAAATATGTCTGCTACTATAATTGAATACTGGTGTGCGTAGGACCTGGAAGAACAGTTGGATGAAGAGGAGTCTGGCAGGCAGAAGCTGCAGCTGGAGAAAGTGACGACTGAGGCCAAATTGAAGAAATTTGAAGAGGACATTTTGTTACTAGAAGACCAGAACTCCAAATTTCTCAAGGTGAGAGAGAGAGAGAGAGGGGTTCTGCAAGTCTCTACATTCAAGCTGAGGGTTTTGGATGGAAAGAGATATTGTGTCAAAATGTGAAAGTTGATTTTGAATTAGAGATGGAGGGTCTCTCAGTCTCCAAGAGGCTTTTCTCTGCGCTGGGTAGTAAGATACAGGCAAAAGTTTCAGATCATATGTTCAATATGTTGATGCTGAGTTGAGAGGCCAGCTGTGCGCTAACCTTCCTGCCTCTCTCTCCTTTAGGAAAAGAAGCTGTTGGACGACCGAGTCAACGAGATGACCTCGATGCTAGCCGAAGAGGAAGAAAAGGCCAAGAACCTGGGCAAGGTCAAGAACAAGCAGGAGATCATGATGGTCGACCTGGAGGGTAAAAGGAGCGATGTAAAATACAGAATTCATAGAATAGTAAAAACCTGTAGAGTTAATGTGTCTTGGTGTTTTATGAAACTATCGCATCCTCTCTTTTCTAATTTAGAGAGACTGAAGAAGGAGGAGAAGACCCGTCAGGAGCTAGAGAAGGCTAAGAGGAAGCTGGATGGGGAGACGTCCGACTTCCAGGACCAGATCGGCGAGCTGCAGGCCCAGACGGAGGAGCTGAAGGTTCTGCTGGGGAAGAAAGAGGATGAGCAGCAGACGATGTTGGCTAGGTAGGCGATACTGGGACCACCATAGATGAGCCAAATATGGATGTTTAGAGTTCTGATGTTGAGTCATTGAGATTCTGCTTCATGAGGTGAGTCACTCTGAGATAAGCGCTGCATAGCTGTACAGAATGGTCACACCTGCTGTTTTATATCCAGCATTTCATTGGACTGACGGCACTCCGGACGAGTGTGCAGCAGTGATGTTATCATCTTGTAAAAGAGCTTTTAGTTATTGTTGACAAGCTGCCTGTATTTATTTACTGATTCTCACTGCATTGGAATGTGTTTGCGATGTGTGACCTTATCATTTGTGTGCATGTAAGACCTTGATATTAGGTGGTCTCAACAACATGAAGGTCCTTTGAGAGTCCCTCACAGAAAACCATACGCCTCAACCGCTGTATATAACACAGTGTATACAGTCTCTGCTGCCACCCAGTGGAGTTTATACTCAATGACAGAGTTGACTCTGGACTAAATGTTTTTCATAAACAAACAAGTTGAACACACCTAATTAATCGGGTGTTTCTGACATATATGTAAAAATCCACCCCCCAAAACAACTAAAAGAGATAATTTTTCTAACATAAATAGCTCAGGCGCATCTCATTTTAGTGGAAAACTGCAGTGAGTTTCCAGGTTTTATTTTTCCAATGTCATACCATCACAGTCACAATATTGTGCTCACCTGCCATCTGAGAATCTGTTGCATGTTCTTGGTGAATAACAGAGGGGAAGACGAGGTTAGCCAGAAGAACAACGCTCTGAAACAGGTGAGGGAGCAGCAGGCCCAGCTGTCGGAGCTGCAGGAGGACCTCGAGTCAGAGAAAATCTCCAGGAATAAGGCTGAGAAGCTCAAGAGGGACTTGAGCGAAGAGCTTGAGGCCCTGAAGACTGAACTTGAGGACACCCTTGATACAACCGCTGCCCAGCAGGAATTAAGGTACTCTACATTTATAACATAGACAGTAGGGCATTTTGTCATATAATTATCATCATCATTATTATTATTATTAAGTCAACAGGAAAGTCTAGACTTTTCTGTTTACCTACTCTCTGCAGGACCAAGCGTGAACAGGAGGTTACGGAGCTGAAGAAGACAATCGAGGAGGAGACTAAGAACCACGAATCTCAGTTCCAGGAGATGCGACAGAGGCATGGCACCGCCTTGGAAGAGCTGTCTGAACAGCTGGAACAGGCCAAGAGGGTAACGCCTTTCCACAATCCACAATCTAATACCACAGGACTAACAATCCACCAAAGAGAAAGTGACATCACTTCGTCATCTGACCACACTAATGTTTGTTCTTGATTATGTCTAGTTCAAGGCCAACCTGGAGAAGACCAAGCAGAGCCAGGAGAGTGCCAACAAGGAGCTGGCCAACGAGGTCAAGGGCCTGCAACAGGCAAAGACAGAGTCCGAACACAAGCGGAAGAAACAGGAGGCTCAGCTGCAGGAGTTCATGGCCAGAGTCACTGAGGGAGAGAGGGCCAAGGGAGAGCTGGCCGAACGTGCACACAAGCTGCAGGTGGACATTTTTGATGAAATACAATGGAATCCGCCCTATTGTCATTAATAATGAACATCAGCTTGTCAGAATTAATAATAATTACAACAAAAACTTTATTTATATAGCACCTATCAAAAACTGTTTCAAAGTGCTGTACAATAAAAAAACATGATCAAAGTCATTAAGATCAAGATATAAGCAAGATAAAATCATCACAATGGAGAAAGCAAATGTCTGAACACTTGTAGATGCACAAAGGGCTTTTCCCACAGAATGCGACCACGGCACCACAAACACATTATTTCTAAGTGCTTGCACAATGCCAACCATGTTCCCAGCACTTGATGCTCATCTCAATACAATCGTCAAAACACAAAAATGTGTTTGCATCTTTGCCCTACTCCATACTTGAATAATTTCATTCTAAACTGTTCTTTATACAGTTATTTGAGGTACTTTAATGGTGCAGTTCAAATGAAGAGCTGCATGCAAAGTTGACTTCTTACAGTTGCAGGTGTGACAAACTATATTATATATAGTTTGTCTATGATTATTTAATTGGACCATTTATGTGAAAAAAACGTGGTATTAAAATCTTCTACGAATACTTTTGACTTGCATTGATGACCTGGTTTCACTGTGGTACCTCTCCATCCAGACTGAGTTGGACAATGTGTCTGCCATTCTGGAAGATTCAGAAAGGAAGGGCATCAAGATGGCCAAAGATGTTGCTGGAATAGACGGTCAGCTGCAGGACACACAGGTGACTGATCTCTGAGCAGTAATCATCAATCCACAGTGTATGTATTATTTCTATTATATTCTTCTGTGTAACTAACCGGACAAATGTACTTTTTTGTTTTTAGGAGCTGCTCCAGGAGGAGACGCGTCAGAAACTAAACCTCAGCAGTCGCATACGCCAGCTGGAGGAGGAGAAGAACGCCCTGCAGGAGCAGCAGGAGGAGGATGAGGAGGCGCGCAAGAATCTAGAGAAACAGATGTTGACCATACAGGCTCAGGTAGGACTTGTGATCTCCACTGAAGGAAACTGTGTTTAAATAATATTCCTGTTGAATTTTTATTCTAAGTAATGAATTTGTTTATTTTTTTTTAGCTGTCAGAGAGCAAGAAGAAGCTGGAGGACGATGTTGGAACTATAGACGGCCTGGAAGAGACCAAGAAGAAACTGCAGAAGGACTTTGAGCTGGCCAGCCAGCGACTGGAAGAGAAGACCATCGGTTTTGAAAAGATGGAGAAGACAAAGACCCGTCTGCAGCAGGAGCTGGATGATCTAACTGTAGACCTGGATCACCAGAGACAGATCGTCTCCAACCTGGAGAAGAAACAGAAGAAGTTTGACCAGGTGAGTGCGTTTTGTTGGAGATATTTGCTGGGTTTTACAGATACAGTATGTCTTACTTTGGAAGCTTGTCTTAGATGTATTTTTAAATACTATAGTTTAATCCTTACAATTCACAAATAAAATGCTGATCCGCGCTCTGACGTCCTCCTCCTCTGCAGATGCTGGCTGAGGAGAAGAGCATCTCGGCTCGTTACGCCGAGGAGCGTGACCGTGCTGAAGCTGAGGCCAGGGAGAAGGAGACCAAAGCTCTGTCCATGACCAGAGCTCTGGACGAGGCGCTGGAGGCCAAAGAGGAGCTGGAGAGGGTTAACAAGCAGCTTCGTGCTGAAATGGAAGATCTGATGAGCTCCAAGGACGACGTGGGCAAGAATGTGAGTGCTAGGGCTCAATAGAGCATGTTTAAATTACAAGGACAATTGAGCAGTACTCTCACCGATCATCCTCTATCTCCTCACCGTCAGGTCCACGAGCTTGAGAAGTCCAAGCGCACTCTGGAGCAGCAGCTGGAGGAGATGAAGACTCAGCTGGAGGAGCTGGAGGACGAGCTGCAGGGCACGGAGGACGCCAAGCTGCGTCTGGAGGTCAACATGCAGGCCATGAAAGCCCAGTACGAGAGAGACCTCCAGGGCCGGGACGACCAGAACGATGAGAAGAAGAGAGCGCTGGTCAAGCAGGTGCAGGATCACACTCAACATCACACAACAACAGTTGAATCCAAGCACACTAATGACTTGTGCTGGCTCCACATCAGGTGCGAGAGATGGAGGCAGAGTTGGAGGACGAGAGGAAGCAGAGGGGTTTGGCTGTAGCTGCTAAAAAGAAGCTGGAGATGGATTTGAAGGATATAGAGGGTCACATAGAAGGAGCCAACAAGGCTCGAGACGAAGCCATCAAACAGTTGCGCAAGTTACAGGTGCGGATTTGATGTTTGAATCTCCATTCAAACCACTCACATTCTAAGCAGCAATTCTCAGCCACATGTTTCATCCTGCAGGCCCAAATGAAGGACTACCAGCGAGAGCTGGAAGACGCCCGCGCTTCTAGAGATGATATTTTTGCCATATCCAAGGAAAACGAGAAGAAACTCAAGAGTCTGGAGGCTGAGATTGTACAGCTACATGAGGTACAGTGATGTGCAGATGTTTGTTGTGTCACATGGTAGCCACTGTGCATAGTTAGGGTTGGAGGGTGTTGATTTATGTTTGATAGGTCTTTGTACTTACTGTATATTCACGATAAAGTACTCTCGGCATTATGATACACAAAGAAGTACTTGTGTTTAACCTTTGACTTTTTTTCTGCAGGATCTGGCAGCATCCGAGAGGGGTCGGCGCCACGCAGAGCAGGAGCGGGATGAGCTGCAAGATGAAATCTCAAACAGCACCTCTGGAAAGTCAGTTACATTCATCTGTCGACAGATGCGTATCGGTTTATTTTTCTTTTAATCTGCTCTTACCTGGTGGTTTGTTACACGGAACCACCTGAGAAGCCGTCATTGTAAACTGTTTGGAAAAAGGCAGGTGAACCATTGGCCAATCACAACCTCTTTAGTAGCCACCATTGTTGTTTAGAACAAACAGTCCGTGTCATCAGGCCCTAGCTGCCTGTAGCTCCTCATAGGACACCGATTGGTCCGTGCTCTGGCTTATCCGACACAAACGCATCACTTGAAACCTGACAAGATTTAGTCTCGTGTGATCTCATTGACATTGTGAGATTCCAGTTGCCGAGCAAGCTAAACCTGCTTGGGAAGCACTCAACAGATAGTGATTAGATGAAGAGAAAATAAACAAACATAATAACAATAGTGGTAAACAACAACATTTGTTGCAGTAGAAAATAAGGGGAAATAATTAAAAAGGTTACAAAGCACCACAGCCTAAATTAGACCTTTCAATTCCTGAGCCCTCAGGATAATCTTTTAGAAGACATAGTTCAGGGTTAAAAGAAAGATTTTAACCAATAATTTAACTCACCAAATCAGAAACCTTCTAATAAAATGATATTTTGAAACTCCCACATGCTAGGAAGCAAAGAGTCCCAGTGCTCTTCGTCTTTAACTCTATACCTTTGTGTGTCAGGTCCGCTCTGATGGACGAGAAGAGGAGGCTGGAGGCTCGCATTGCTCAACTGGAGGAGGAGCTGGAAGAGGAGCAGGGTAACATGGAGCTACTCAACGACCGCTTCAGAAAGACCACTATGCAGGTGAGGTCTTCTTCAATGATCATCGCTATTTTCATCGGACTAATATTACATCGTAAGAATTCTTTACTAGCCTGTGCAAAATGATCAATGACGTGAAGTTCCCTTGCCTCTGCGCCTCAGGTGGACACCCTGACTACAGAGTTGAGTGCCGAGCGCAGCACCGGCCAAAAGAGCGAAAACGCTCGCCAGCAACTGGAGCGTCAAAACAAGGAGCTGCGGGCCAAGCTGGGCGAGCTGGAGGGTTCTGTGAAGAACCGATTCAAGGCCTCCATCGCTGCCCTGGAGGCCAAGATAGGACAGCTGGAGGAACAGCTGGAGCAGGAGGCCAAGTGAGAATTCAATACACCGCCGTCCTACTTTATACTAACAGTTCAAAAACTATCAGGCTAAAATATGAGATCAATGAAAACACATGTGTAGCTGAAACGATAAATCTGGCTTTGCTTCTCTAACCTTCACTCGTTCTCCACTGAAGGGAGCGAGCAGCCGCCAACAAGACTGTGAGAAGGACCGAGAAGAAGCTGAAAGAAATCTGCATGCAAGTGGAGGATGAGCGCCGCCATGCCGACCAGTTTAAAGAACAAGTACGTCTGACGCTGTTGACGTTAATTACACTGATGTAATTAGAGTTTTGCAAGAATTTACCACAGTTCGCCATTCGTCAAAATTGTTTAGCCCCACAAAGAGATCAATCACTGTTTCTGGTATTTTTCCTTCTCATCTTCTCGATTTACATGCATTACATTAAAGCACTTATCATCATCGGGGACATTTCTTTTACTCGTTGGTGTGTCTGTGTGTGAAGGTTGAAAAGGCTAGCTCTCGCATGAAGCAGCTGAAGCGTCAGCTGGAGGAGGCTGAGGAGGAGGCCACGAGGGCCAACGCCTCACGCAGGAAACTGCAGAGAGAGCTGGACGACGCCACCGAGGCCAGCGAAGGTTTGAGCCGCGAGGTTCACACACTCAAGAACCGCCTCAGGTACGCTGAACATTCATGAGCATTAGAACACTGGGCTTTATTCATGACACCTGAGTGGGAATGAGTTCAGATTTAAGTTGTGGGAGAGAAGTGGAAACCTTTTTTGCTTGGTTACCTTCCCTTGACCTCCGGTCCTCTTCCCCCTTGCAGACGTGGCGGCCCCATCAGCTTCTCCTCCAGTCGGCCAGGCAGACGCCCACTTCAGGTGGAGGGAACTTCCTTGGACCTCCTGTCTGATGATGAGCTGGAAAACAAAATCACCGACAACAATGCCAACGAGACTCCGGCGCCCCAGCCAGAGTAAAACGAGAAAGCCGGAATCTTTGCTCGACACATCGACTCTCAGTCCCAACAGTAATGCTTAGATTTTCCCAACTTGGAGAAAACAAAATCATACAGATATGAGCCAAACACACGCAGCATGATCTAGGCAAAAAGAAAACTACCTGTATTCCTGACCTTACTCCTCGACCCTAAACCTTAGCACGCACCAGCAGTTGGGCCCCCAACGCTCTCCTTACCGCCCCACTTAGAGTTGTGAGAAGCACTGCTCTGCCTTACCCCTCCTTCTCAAGCTGCAGGGCTTGATATATTATATAATAGCAACTTCCATCATTGAGTATAGACTACTTCAGTAACCTGAATGGGAGATGAGCTGCATCACCGATAGAAGTGCTTTTCTTTTAAAATAATGCACATGTGCATAAGTTGCTGGCCCGCTCGTACAGAGAAAAATATATGACCGTAATTTAAAATGCTTCCAAAGGCTAGAATATTTAGCGTTGCCACATTGGAAAGGAACAGATTATTATAAAAGCAAACAACTTTCTGACTATTTTTGCATCTATCTACAGTATGCCCGTCATATGAGTCAGTTTAGTTGTGTTAGTTGAACTGTAACTGAAGAGTATTTTTTCCAGTCCTATGCTAGGATTGTTTGCTTGCATATGAATATAGAAATGTGACTGTAAGCTGCCGTTGTCGCCTCAGCGCTGCAATACGTTGCTTCTCTGACGGTGTTTTTTCTAATGATGTTTGACAGTAGGTCTGTGTTGACTTGTAATTATTTGGTGCGAGAGCTGAAAGCAGCGACCACGCTCATGTTCTCTTGCTGACTTCTTCTGTGCCCCCCCCCACCCATTTAAAAACTCAAAACCCATTTATGCCACATATACTGTTCATATATTTTGACCCATGCCTAATTTCAATATTCAACAAGTTGCATTTGTAATGAACTATTAGTGGGAAACTGATCTTCTCTCTTTCTATGTCCTGCTACAGTTTCTATGTGACCACAATGATTGACATGTCAAACCGTGCGGGGTTCTTTGTAGATGGGTGCTATGACTTTTCTTATTGTTAACTTTTATACGTTTTGAGTTAAGATTGAAAAACTATCCAATAGACACCAACTGTATTTATATCTCTTGCTATTGTATACAGTATAAACTCCATTCATAGTCAAAATGCTCAGTATTGCACATTGATCAGCTGTATCTACGCTAATTCTCATGACATGTACAGTTTGAGTTGTTAGGAGCCATATGATGCATTAAAGTGTATGGAGCCCAATTCACTCTGAGTCCTACCGCCATTCATTGAATTAGTCCTTGATGCCATGTACATTGATTGAATGCCCATCAACATTTCGGGTTGTCATGTTTCAGGTGCTCTACTGTGACTTTATTCGACATGCTATACTGTGACTTTATTCGACATGCTCTACTGTGACTTTATTCGACATGCTCTACTATCACTTTTTAATGACTTTCGACATGCTATACTGTGACTTTATTCGACATGCTATACTGTGACTTTATTCGACATGCTATACTGTGACTTTATTCCACATGCTATACTATGACTTTTTAATGACTTTTTCGACATGCTATACTGTGACTTTATTCGACATGCTATACTATGACTTTTTAATGACTTTTTCGACATGCTATACTATGACTTTTTAATGACTTTTTCGACATGCTATACTGTGACTTTTATGAATTTTTCGACATGCTATGATATGACTTTATTCGACATGCTATACTGTGACTTTATTCCACATGCTATACTATGACTTTATTCGACATGCTATACTGTGACTTTATTCCACATGCTATACTATGACTTTATTCACCATGCTCTACTGTGACTTTATTCGACATGCTATACTGTGACTTTATTCGCCATGCTCTACTGTGACTTTATTCGCCATGCTCTACTGTGACTATTCGCCATGCTCTACTGTGACTTTATTCGACATGCTATACTGTGACTTTATTCGACATGCTATACTGTGACTTTATTCGACATGCTATACTGTGACT